TCTCCTCATATGACAACCCTCCATCCCAACATCGTTCTAGTAGCCCTCCTCTGTATCCTTTCCATCAGTTCAATGTCTTTCCTAAAGTAAGAAGCCAAAGACTGAACACAACACTTCAAATGTGGCCTAACCAGTGACTTATACAATGAAATTATAACATCTTTAGACTTTTATCTGGTATTTCTGTAGATACAACCTAAAATCCTATTTGCCCTACTACTAGCAACAGCACATTACTTGGATGGATTAAGAGATTGATCAACCACCAACATCAAGATCACTTTCCTTCATGACACTGTTAAAGTTATTCCCATACAAATTATACTTATAATTCAAATTATGATAATCCACGTGCATTATCTTGCATTTATTATAATTAAAACACATAGCCATTCATTCGCCCAACTCACAAAATGATTTAACACCCAAGACCTTAATATCATCAGCAAATTTATGTAATTTATTGACTATTCCTTCATTTATATCATTGATGTAAATCAAAAAGAGCAAAGCTCCTAAGACTGAGCCCTGAGGTACCCACTTGTAGCATTAATCCAGTGTGACTGAGCTCCATTTATAACAACCTTCTGATTTATTCTATCCAGCCACTCTTCTATCCAATTAGCCAACTTATCTCTCACACCTATAAAGATAAGTATTTTAACAAACCTTTTATGTGGCACCTTGTCTAAAGGTTTCTGCAAATCCATATACACCAAATCTACACGCTTACCCTCATCTACATAAGCATTAACCTTTTCAACGAATTTCAAAAGATTTTTAAGATAAAGGTTTTCCCTTGGTGAAACCATGTTGACTATCAAATAAAATTCTAAACTTTGTTAAATAACTTTGCAAAGCATCTTTTATTAGAAATTCCAAACTTTTCCCACAGCTGATGTAAGACTGATAAGCCTATAACTTGTATAAGTACTGGGACAGTTTTATCATGTCCATTGAAAAGATGAGTAAAATTAGCCAACTTTCAAACCTGTTGCACTTGCCCACAACTCAAGGACTTATGAAAAATTGTAGCAAGTGGCTCACATATCCAATCCTTAACCTCCTTCAAAACCTTTGACCTGGGGAAATATTATCTGGCGCGGGAGCCTTATCGTTCTTCAAACTTTCCGATTTTTTCTTAACAATCTCATAATTAATGTGATTATCTTGTTCGATCTTATTTCCATCTATCAACTGTTCAAGATGAGGAATATTGCTTAAATCTTCATCAGTAAAAATTGAAGAAAAAGCATAATTTAATAATCCAGCCATTAAGAAGTGCTGTATAGAGTATCTAGTGTTATTTAAATGAATTTCATCAGCCCTAGCAAAGCAACTTACTGATATTAAAGGTAGCTCGTTATTATAATATTTGTGGATAAAAATAGGAATGTATTTAAATGTATGACATAATTCAAACATTTTTGCTCATAATAGTTCAAACTTGGGTTTTATTTTTTAGTCGAGGAAAACAGCAATAAAGCTCTAGTAATGAGTGATCAATCAGGATTGGTTTCTAATATTTTATCAGTCTGTTTTTTGTTTTTGTTTTATTTTAGTTATCCTATGGTAAATATATAAATAACAACCTCAGTCAGTGTGATGTGTTTATATACAATCACTTCGCCAACAAGGGAGATAACTGAAATTTTTTTGCTCTCAGGATGTCACAGTAAAAAGAAAGTAGTGACAAATTATATGCATATATCCTCGATTAATTTGACAGCATCTTTGAAATGAAGTATAAAATTCCCATCGATCATCTTTACGCTACCGCCAAAGTAGAATAATTCCTTAAGTACTCTCCAAAGGACGCTTTCGACATAAGAAAATATTATTATATAATTGTTTTTGTTGCATCATAACTTCAAAAGTCTCGAAGACAATGGAACAAAAACTAGTACTTGACACATATAAGACTTTAATCCTGTGTATAGTTGTAGCATAAAACTTCCTCATCAAGACCTTTAAGTTTTGGAAGCCACCTAATTGCTAATTAGTTAAAACGTTTTTATTCAAAACACTGAGCATGGATAATCTAATATAAATGATATCATCAAACGTTTATAATATTTAAACTTTTTCCAGTTAAAGAGACCACATAATAAGACATAAAACAATGGTGTCAAGCATCTTTCTACTGATTGAAAGTACATTTCTCTGAAAATGTGTCATTTTGTGTTATGAATGTTACAGAAGTTTTAGTATGTTACATTAAAACGATTTTATTATATAAATAAGCAAGTCAACTGATAACCACAGTGATATAAAGTTGCGGTGAAATGGAATGTATCAGAGCGACATTTTGACATTGTTTGTAGTTAGAGATAACACGATTTTACTGAAAATTCATCGCTTTTAGGAAGGGCATATAACAGCTCCTCCGTCAAAAAATATTAATACACTCAAATCAGATTGAGGATTTAGAATTTCTAAGATGAGAAAACCCTTTATGCATAATAGAAAACAAAGGAATATGGATTAACTTGAGACATCAGTACCAACAAAAAAAAGAAATGCAACAAGTCATACTCCAACCATATAACAGGTGAGAATCCACGAACACAGAGGTCAGTAGCAAAAGCCGTCCAGGTGTCCCAGGCAAAAGTACGCAACATAATCAAGAATGATCTTGGTAAGTTATATTTACACAAATTGCGTCCATATTCGTTCAACCGCTTCATACCTCAAACAGTTGGAGATTGAAATATGATAGATTATGAAAATCCAGCAGAAATTAGTGGCGTGTTTTGGACATGACAGTCTTACAACAGAGCCTTTCACAATGGAAGCTATGTTGCAGGGCTATTGTCATGATGCAAGGTCGTCAGGTAGAGTACGACCAGATTTTATTACATAGGCTGTAGTAATGTCGTGAGGCTTCAAATTCGTTTTAATATAATGTATTCAACCTCCGTACAGTTGCCAAGTAAACAAGTTTGTTATTAGAGTATATTTAACCTTTTATGAAAACAATTTAAATTATTAACTGTATAATATCTATTACCACATTATGCTTTCAGCTATTTGGCCATATAATAGAAGGCTAAATTGTAAA